CTGACCTTACTTAGTATTGTTCATCCCGAACAATAGCCACTTACATTAAACCAATAGATAATTAACAATAACTTAATTAAAGGTACATAATTTACAAACACAAAATTAAAAGTCAACAAAGTATCTTAATTTTACAAGACGTATCTTCTTCCATACTGGTCTCCGTCTCATTGGCTTCTGTTTCACGTGGGGCTCATCTGCTCCATCAGGAAATGTCCCATTATCGGTAGCAGTCACATCAGTGGTAGTAACTTCATTAACGACTTTACTGTTTTTCTTCTCGAAACCGGCTAGAGTTTCTTCTTCAACAGTGGCTTTTTCAGGTGACACGTCTTCAGCAACGTCATTTGCTCCATTGTTCACTTTGTTCCAACTGAAATGACCTGAACCGTGATAACTCCAAAGCCTGTTGGCATGCACCACCTTGGGTTTACCTCGCTGACCACATTTTATTCGGAAAGTCACGTCTGAGAGACAATCCACTATGTCATATGGGCCTTCCCATGGAGAAGACAACTTAGAAGACTTCCCTTTGGTCTTCCTGGGATTATACAACCACATCTTGTCTCCTAGTACAAAACTGACTTCAGTAGATCTCTTATCATAACATAGCTTCATGGAATCAGCAGACGTTTTCAAGTTTGAACGCACTTGATGATGAATATCATCCACTCTTTAAGATAACACTTTCACGAACTATGACACATTTCCAGGCAACTCTTCATAAGGTGGGCGTTCTGTTATCAGGTCCACTGGAAACCGAAGTTCCCGACCAAACATCAGCTTTGGTGGAGTGTGTCCAGTGTCTTCATGTTCTGCTGTTCTATAGGCCATCAACAGTGGAGGGAGTAAGACATCCCAGTCATCTTGGTGGCTATTACAAAACTTTGCCAATTCCTGTCCCAGTGTTCAGTTGTACTTTTCTACCATCCCATCAGACTGTGGGTGAAGTGGCGTTGTCCTGGTCTTTTGTATGCCAAACAACTTGATGCATTCTTGGAATACAGCTGATTCAAAGTTACGGCCTCGATCTGAATGCAGTTCGTATGGCATACCAAACCGGAAGAAGAAATCACTAATAGCCGAAGCTACAGTTGTAGCTTCCA